CATTTGGACAGTTTTTACACACTCTTTGTCCAGAAAAAAAAGCTCTTGTTCGAACACAAGAGAAATTAAATAAAAGCTTAACCGTAGTACATTGTCTGTTGTTTTTTTAATAATATGTATATATATATATATATATATATATATATATATATATATATATATATATATGTGTGTGTGTATGTATGTGTGTGAAAAGTGTGATATATATATATATATATATATATATATATATATATATATATACATATATATAATTATTTATATATTATATGCGCGGTACTTATTAGAAAGCGCTCAATATCAGAGATAGAGCTAACATATTTGTTTGGATAGATGTGAGTTTGTGACCCTGGGTTTCACGCTTTTGCGATCGTCAGACAAACTTCCTTGACGTCACTCTTAACCTGAACAACAACACATACCACCCGTACAAAAAAGAAAATGACACCCCATCTTACGTACACACATCCTCCAACCACCCACCTTCAATCATCAAACAAATACCAATATCAATTAGCCAAGACTATCTGAGAACTCATCTAACATACACATTTTCAATAGCAAAAATAGCACCATACAACGAAGCACTAAAAGCTAGTGGTTACACACAACAACCACAATATATACCTCCACAGCCAAAACGAAAAAACAGAAAAAGAAATATCATCTGGTTTAATCCACCATACAACAAAACCGTTAAAACGAGCATAGGCAAGATATTCCTAAACTTAATAGAAAAACACTTCACTGAAACAAACCGATTAACAAAAATATTCAACAAAAATAACGTAAAGATCAGTTACAGCTGCACAAAAAGTATAACAGAAATAATCAAATGCCACAACAACAAAAAAAATGACATTCTAAAAAAATTAAACCAAGGATCTAAAATGCAACTGCAGAAAAAGAACATGTCCACTCCAGGGAAATTGCCAACTTACGAACACAATATACAAGGCCAAGTTAAGTGCAAACAACAGTATAATGTACTACATCGGTGCCACTGAAGGTCCATTCAAGATGAGGAATAACAATCACTACCTTTCAGGAAATACTCGAACAGCGCTACAATATCCACATACATATGACAACAAAAAGACAGAAATATCACACCAACACTAAGTTGGGAAGTATTGAAAAAAGCTCCTGCCTACAGCAACATTACAAAAACAATGCCTACTTTGCCTACACGAAAAAGAAGCAATAATATCACACACACCGCAAAAGAATTTACTAAACAAAAAATCAGAGATAATCTGCAAATGTAGGCATGAGAACAAGTACCTATTATCCGAATTTATACCAAACGGATAAAAAAAAAGAAAAAAAAAGACAGACCACCAACAATCACAATTTAATTTAAGCTACCATCACAATAATTACATTTATCGTTATCGTTTTTATCATTGCACCATCTTTAGTAATCACTTCTACCACTTTGCAATAACTATTAACTTCTAATATTACCTTTACCACCAACACCCAACACCATTACAACCACATAACATCTACTATTAACATATAAATCCACTATAATTATTAACGTAAATTACTCCCCCAGCATACTTAATACCACCAAATAAAAACCAATAAGATCAGAAATAATTTCCAAATGTAGGCATGAGAATAAATACCTATTGCCAGGAGTTATACTAAAATAAATAAATAAATATATATATATATATATATATATATATATATATATATATATATATATAAAATAAAATAAAACACCAACAATCACTCTTTAGTTCAAGCTAGCACCACAATAATTACATTATTGTTTTTTATTATTATACTACCAATTTACAATAACTATTAGCTACTTATATTATCATTGTCTCCAATCCCTTACAACATTACTACCACATCAAATAACCAGCTTTAAGATAATAACAAATAACCCTTTCTTTTTTAAAAATTAAAAATAAAAACAATAGTAATTTTTACCTATCATAATTTTACACAGACCCCACCAGACGTATATTAATACATGCGAGGAAATTTTATTCAGTGAAAAAAAAAGATAAATGCTCTGATTTTTGGCATGTATAGATTCATGAGACATTCACGAGAAATTTTCGTTACACTTCCAATCTTTGAATTTCAACATACAAATGCGTATGTATAGATACAACACCACCCATATGCATACATATATCAAATCCGAAACTGTCCACATATGTTTATATATGTATGACTCCCGACGGACAAGCAAGTGTGTATGTGTGTCTGCGTACCACATCTGATGTACGGACATGCATCTATGTTTGCGTTAGCATGAATGTCATCTCGACGACGATTCCCCCACTCCCATAATAACACCAATACACGCAATCTACATAAACCCAAATTTAAAAAAAAATTAATCAGTTTGTCTGACGATAGCAAAAGCGTGAAACCCAGGGTTACAAATTCATCAAATCAACCATATATATATATATATATATATATATATATATATATATATATATATATATATATATGTCGATGCATTCATGTGTCTATTTATGTCAGTGTCCTCCTCTCTATCTCAACTAGTTTATATTTATTTTAGACTGTTCTTATTTAATGCCATACCCTCTCTCTTTTTCTCTTTCTCACCACCTCCGTCTATCTCTCTTTCTCTCCCTATATATATATATATATATATATATATATATATATATATATATGAGAATGTATATGAATATTGTGTTGAGCCCTTCCCTGATATCGGAGCTGCGTGACTAGAACTCATGTATTTTCTAGCTTCATCAGGATTCGATTTGTGAAATCAGCGTGAAAGACGCGGCAAACTCGACTACCAATTTGACTGTTTTTCCTTTCACTTAAATAATTGTCTTGCGCAATGCTTTTTGTCTTAAACATTTTAAAATCCATTCCGCAAAGGATTTTAGAATGGTTAGGGAAGAATCAAGCATTTTTTTTTATTGTCTCCTTAATACTTTTTCGTAGGAATTCTTCCTATTTATCTTTGACATTTGACTTAATTTTATTCCCTTCAAAGTAACCTTGACATTTCTGTTTTTAGGTTTTTTTCATTCACACGTTCAATTTTTTCGTTCGTTTTTCTTGCCTTTGCTTTTTCCTTCGTTCAATTCTGTCTGTTTATTCGTTATTCTTCCTGTGTTGTCTATTTTTTTAATTTTTCCAACTGTTTTCATTTTAACATCATTTGTTTTTTTTTTCTTTCTTTTTCTCTTCTGTATTTCTTATTTTATTGTTCCTATCCTTTCTCTTTTCTTTTCCTTTCATTCCTTCATCAATTCCTTCATTTCTTCATTCACTCTTTCTCTCCATCCCATCCCTTCCTTTTCTCTCCCTTCTTTCCTCTTTCATTTGCCCTTCCTTCTTAATTACGTCCCTTCATTGTTTCCTTCTCTTTCTTCTTTTCTTTCAAATTTACCTCCTTCTTTGCTGCTTTTCTTCCTTCTAATCATGAGAATTTTAATGTTTTCCTAATCTTTTCTTTCGGAAAACCCACAGCAAATCTTTAACAAGCCAAGAAAATCTGCCTTTTATTTCTTGCCTTGTCTTATTTAACTCCATTTACTTCGGCAACTTTTGAGCTGAAGAAGCACTCAGCCTGATGCTTGTAGCCATTGCATGAATGGCGTCATTCAACGACCTTCTTAAGCCGCAGCTGATGCATTTGATGGAGAAGGATTTTTAAATATCATGTCATTTTTAATAAGCTTCGAGTAAACCATTATATATATAATAATAATGATAATAATGATATATATATATATATATATATATATATATATATACATATGCGTGTCTGTGAGTGTGTATTATTTTCTTTTGTATAATAATTATTATACAAACGAAACAATTCACATAAACCCACATTAAAGAAAATATTTTATCCTGAATTGAGTATAACATATATAATTATTGTATAATATTTGATATATATATATATATATATATATATATATATATATATATATATATATATATATCTGTGTTTGTGTGTGCGTGTGTGCGTGTGTGCGTGTGTGCTTGAATAATAATAATAATAATAAAATTTCAGCTATGATCTAGTTCAGTGTAACCGTTAAATACATGATGTCAATTAGGACTAATTCGAATTTCAGCGTTCCGGAAAAAAATCATTGATATAACCAACAACAAATGTGCAGTATCTGTCTATATTTCTGGGCTGAGGTATCACCTTAACTAGTTAATAACAACGAAAATTGCAATATGAGCTCTGGTTGAAAACAAACAAATAACATGTAATGTTAACAGTAAATTCGCAGTATGAGCACTAGTAAAAAAAAATGATCACTGAAGACATTAGGTTTATAATACTCAGAAATTCACACACGGATGTCCTGCAGGACACATGGCACAGTGAATAAAGGCGTTAGTTAGATCCAGTATCAGGAGCCAAAGTGTGAGTTCAATACCTGGTTAAAGCGGTGGGCAACTGAGATAACTGACACCCATTAAACATGGCATTTGGAACTAGAACATTCTACCCGAGCAAGCGAAATAAAGGATTCAGATCGACATTCCAGCGGTCGAAACGTTGTTATAAAAATGGCGACAAAGATGAGGACAATAGTCCGAATAATGTAAATAGTGTACATAATACTTCATCTCAAAAAACATAGACAGATACTGAATGGCCGAAACGCTGTGATAAGTATGGCGAAAAAGATGAGGACAATAGTCCGAATAATGTAAATAGTGAAAAAATGAGTAGACCAGCAATATAATGTTCATAGTAGTAATTGTTGGTCGTTTTTGTCTAGCAGAATATCAATCTCTATGTTTTAATTAATGCCAAAATCTAAACATTTTGCACGCGGTTTTTACATGTTTTAGTAATGATTTAGTGATACAAATCTTTGAAAATAAATAAATAGCGTGCGGGAGAAGAGATGGGTACTTTTCTTTTTTCAAGAATATTTGCGCATATGTGAATATAACAAAACTTACTGGAATTGGAATTCGGGCCTTCGATTATCATATCTGAGCTCTAATTTCATGATTGGGAGCCCCGGGTAGTGCTCAGTGACCCTCGCTCAGTACTCAGTGACCCTCGCTCAGTGCCCAGTGACCCTCGCTTAGTACTCAGTGACCCTCGCTCGTGTGCTCAGTGACCCTCGCTCGTGTGCTCATTGACCCTCGCTCAGTACTCAGTGACCCTCGCTCGTGTGCTCAGTGACCCTCGCTCGTGTGCTCAGTGACCCCTCGCTCAGTGCTCATTGACCCTCGCTCAGTGCTCAGTGACCCCTCGCTCAGTACTCAGTGACCCTCGCTCGTGTGCTTAGTGACCCTCGCTCGTGTGCTCAGTGACCCTCGCTCAGTGCTCATTGACCCTCGCTCAGTGCTCATTGACCCTCGCTCAGTACTCAGTGACCCTCGCTCTGTGCCCAGTGACCCTCGCTCAGTACTCAGTGACCCTCGCTATCTCATCAATATTTGTCTTTTTTTTCTACCTACATTTTTATACGTTACAAATAAAACTAAGCACAAATGATTGTGAAAGAGCGAAACGTTTTCGTAGACTCTGACGTAATAAATTTTTGTCCAAAACCGCGAATTTGTTTTGCTCATTTTAAGTCTCGAAAACCACTACATAAAAATTTACTATTTATTATCCAGAATTTTCAATGTATTCAAATCATTCTACTTAAGAGAAATCACAAGTTGATGCTAAAAATTGCCGAAAAACATTGTTGATTTATTTGAGATGTAATGATCTATTAGGACCTGTCTCGAATTTGCATATAGATACATTTTATTTATTTTCAATTTTCACCTCTCTTGCGCAGGAAATAGTATTGTGACGTCCCCCGCTCGTTCGGGTGTCGCCGCTCCAAACGTGACGTCCGCCTGTCTGCGTCAGTCGTGCTATCTCGTCCTGTGACAACCAACTGGCTTGGTATTGGGCGCGGCACCCAAATGTGACGTTCTAACCTTTTGGTGATTCGGATGGGAATCTGGTTAGATTCAATATCAGCCTCGTCGTTCCCAACTCGCCTCCAACGTCTGGTTACCGAAGTAACTATTTGACTTCCAGTCCGCCTACCCACGTTGTGAATTGATCTTAGGCAGACGAAATCAATCAGTAGTCCGGGCCGTAATGCAAGTCGAGTTCGAATAAGGGTGGTATCGCACAAATAGATGTAAAAGAAAATAAAATAACAACTCGAAAAGTTCAAAAGGTATTAAAAAAAGGATAACCATATTTTATATCTGGTTGCTGGATACAGGACTACGTCTATCTCCCAACCCGCTATATGGATTCGTGACACGTTGTTTTTGTTAGGAGAGTCTTAACATCTCAAGTTGTTTGTTCTTTTAAGAAACTAGTTCTTGGTGTGTCTTCAGGCGAAATTCGTAAGACTTGTTTTGGTGGTATGAGTCTAAGTCGTTCTTCAAAAATAATTGTACTTGATTAGAAGATGAGTTCGGAAGTTGCGCGAATCTTAGTCAGCTAATGCGTGGTGGGGCTTCAGAGCTCTCAACTTAAACTCGAACTCACTGGAACTCAACTGGAACTCGAAAACTGGAAACTGATTTTCGCTCGCTGCGACTTTGCTTATACGGACGCCGACCCAAACCGGGGTGGGCTCGTCGGGGTTTGAGGTTCCTTTATAATTCCAAATCCACAATCCCCTTCTTTTGTTTTCGGTCAGGAAAAATTTATTATTTCCATTTTTGGAAGTCTTCTCTTACTCCCAACATCTTCTGTTCTCATATGGGTCTCTTACCATACCCTCAGAAGGCGTCAACGGTTTTCCTACTCCTTCGCAGTAACATCTCATACCTATCCCCTTAATGGGTGGTATCAGGCCTCTCCCCCTGCATCACATGATCACCTCCGCCTGGCTCTCGTTAACATTCATCCAATTGGCGTTCAACAGTGTGGGTGTGACCAGACTAGCCTTGTTTTTTAAAAAAAATATCTTGCTCAAAGAAAAAAATTATCTCCTCTTTTTCTTTTTTCCTATTTCCTTTCTTTCTTTTCTTTCTCTCTTCTTCTCTGGCCGCCAACAGAACAATACGACCCGTAGTGTGATAATCTTAATTCTTATCCCAAAGTCACTTTCATATGGAATTCGTCAATCAGATTTACGCCAGCACCATGTGGCTCGTTAACCAGACATATTCACTCTCCGGCGCCAACCACTGATACGATGAAACGACTTCGCCACTTTCTGATAATATTGTTTCGCTGTCATAGACAAATTTCAACACAAAACAGACACCTTTTCTAATGATATCTTTCCATCGACAAAGACTTAACCTATTTTCTTTGTTTTTTTGCAACTCGTGTGTGGTCAGGGCATTTTTATTTCTCGGTCAACGGAAAATCTTTTACCGATAATATAAGTTCGCCACCATGACACAGTTAATTTTTTTTTATCTATTCAGAACTCTGTATCTGGTTATTTGGCCCACCTGGAATTTGTCAATTAGCTTTTCGACAATGGCCATAAAATTTTCAGCATTCTTCATTATCAAAATAACATCGCTAAATGTCCCTTTTGTGATGGCTTTCCTTTATCATCTAAGTTTTAACTCTCGCCTCTCTTTTTCTTTCTTTCCTTTTTTCTTCCTTTTTTCTTGCAGCCCTAAATGGTGTCACATTATTGAACATAATTAGGCTAAAATGAAATTTGTATTTTATATGAATACTACCATATGAAACTTGAGATATAGTAGATTAGGAGTCCCCGTCTCATAGATGCGGAGGTGGCTGAACCATAGATTTAGGGGACCCAGTATCATAGATTCCATGGAGGCCCACGAGACTCTTGCACAGGCCCTGTGTGTGTGCGTGCACTCACACACACACACACACACACACACACACATATATATATATAATTAGAGTGTGCAGCATATATTTTATTAAGTACGTTTCCCTATACATAGGCAAACACTTAAACGAATTTCGTCTTAGTGTTTGCCTCTGTATGCGCCATGAAAATTCCGCCCTGAAGATGACAATTTCAGATTGTCGAAAGTACCTGGAATGTCAATTGCATCTGAAAACAACTCAAATATAAGGATCTTATAATACAAGGAGTTGATAGTAAGTTAATGTCTCATTAAGTCTTCTTAGTGGCTTAATTTCTATTTAATTCTTAGTATAAATCGATTATTTATGATATATATATATATATATATATATATATATATATATATATATATATATATATATATATATATAATTTTTATATACGGAGAGAAACAATAAGTCATTGCTTTTACTCTTAGTATTGAGCCCTCATTTGCTGTGAACGTTAGAATTTGTATTATTTTCGTTTTTCATTACAATCGGGTATATATATATATATATATATATATATATATATATATATATATATATATATATATATGTATATGCCAGTGTGTATGTGTGTGTAGAGACAGTATTTTTTTTATAAGAAATAAAAGATGAGCCTAATCGATCAATATATAATTGATAACATTTAGGGACAGAAATGGATTGCCGATGTAACACTACCTTTTTTACTCTCGTGCAAACCGGATCCATGTCGAACTTTTCGAATTTCTCGCCTACCCGCTGTCTTCCTACCGATCTATTGATTATGAAAATGACAGAATTCAGCATTAAATGACCGCTGAAACTTTGATACGCTGCCAAAGAAAACAAAACAAAAAAATAAAAAACAAAATAAAACAAAAAATCAGAGCTGGATGTATATGTTATTTGACTATGTGTTGAAACTTATAGCCAATAATCTATGATATGCTTGCTTTCTTACAGATAGTGGATAAGCTATAGTCATGCAAAATCGCGTCTGACACGAAAGCGTGTACGAATTGTTATCACTGAATACGCCTCCATTGACATTTATTATCATTTGCTTAACATGACCCGAATTAATCTATGGCAGTTGAATTTTATTAATTTGCTTAAACGCTCAGATTGTCAATGGTCCTTATATTTCTACACCGGCGAATGGAAGGGCAACTCGAAAATGAATATCCAACAAGGGCGAGAGTCTATGCGGAAAGAGGTTTTGCAGCTACGAATTTTGCTCACGCCAAAAGTGTTATTTTGTCAACTAGTGTAATTCTCGATGTATAATACGCACACCTAAAATTGTGCTGAAAGTGTGGTTAAAATGCTTCTACTCACGCTTAATACGCAACATTTGTGTTTGGTAATCAAACCCTATAAATTACCAGTCATTCAGTTACGTGTCATGTGTGATACACGCTTAGGCGATCATGTATCGTTTGATACATGACTGACGAGGTAGATTTTTCATACAGTAGATTTCTATTTCTTTCTGCGATAGACCAGTTTCCATCCAAGTCTATAGAACCCAATCTGTCCTGCTATTTACCCATAGCAGAGGGGAGAAGAAAATTATTCACACCTTTCCCAAGGGTATTAGCACGTAAGTGAATGTAATGGATTTGGAGTAGAATTCAAACTCCGATTCCTCTATCCGAGCCGCTATCCATTACAACACCGTGCAACCTCTAGTTGTCCTGCTATTTACCCATAGCTGAGGGGAGAAGAAGAGGATTCACACCTTTCCCAAGTGTATTAGCACGTAAGTGAATGTAATGGATTTGAGTAGAATTCAAACTCCGATTCCTCTATCCGAACCGCTATCCATTACAACACCGTGCAACCTCTAGTTGTCCTGCTATTTAGCCATAGCTGAGGGAGAAGAAAAGGATATATATCTTTCCCAAGGGTATTAGCACCTAAATTAACATAATGGATTAGACTGGAATTCAAACGTGGCTCTCCGATTCTTCAATCCGAGCTGCTATAAATTGTACCTCTCTAATTTTATCACTGTCAGCGTTTTCTACGGTTGTTTAAAAAATGGTTTTAAACATAGAATAATTTTCTTCTAATTTAGTTTTCTGATAATTCTTATTTTATTTTACGGCAATTTTAAAAATATTTTTTGCATAACATTTTGGTTATTATTATTTAGAAAAAAAAATGCGTATTATACATAGGGAATTACGATATATCTATTACGGTTTTCGTGAAAATAATTTGGGAATGCTTCATAGCAGTATTTGTTCAGCCCTGATCTTTTAATACTTAACTCGAATCTGCTATTTCACGTGTAATTCTATGGCTTTGGGGTTTGTTTTTTTTTGTTCTCGTTTCGGTACTTTAATATTCATGAAATTTTATATTGATATACAAAAATATTTTTATCTGAATTTCTGGGATCATTTGTCATTATTTAAATTATTTAAAGTCTGACTAATGCCCTCATCTTGGTTATTCTCAACATTTCTCAACATTTCAGCCGTTGTGCACTACGGTCATGTTTAGGCGTCTGTCGGTCATTTCGAAAATTCCTGGAGGTTAACCATTTCAACAAACACCTGAGGAAGCCCAAGAGCAGAACGGCCGAAACGTTATAGTTGTAACACTAAAGATGAGAACGTGAGTCATACCATAAAATAAGCAAATAATGGTCCAAATTAATTTCATAAGACATTAAATAACAGTTGCGGATTCCGAGATGAAATTTGATCTCCAATGAATGACAAACGCAGGAAAGAAATATAACAAATAAATGTATTTACACAATGATACAATTGGTAATACGGTTAGTAGATCCAGGAACGCGGTTAGTAGCAATGACATATAGATATATACAGTCTCGAAGTAGGACTTCCTTAGAGTCTACGTGCTTGTAACTGAGACTTCTACAAGCGGTTACCTCACACTATTACTCTACCTCCAACTCAATCACAATCTCTGCTCACTCTCCCAATATCTCTCTCAATCTCTCTATTCTGACTGACTCTGGATATTTAACGGCAGCAGTCCAAGTAACACTCTGGTCGAGTCCACTTATATGAAAAAGGGGAGGAACACATAACAATAACATAGTAGGAAAAAATGTTCGACAGTTTCTGTTGATAATAGTTAATGATGTCATTTAATAACGATTTGCTAAGCGGAGCTTAAATGTGGTCTAGGGTAACAAGCATGGATCTTAGAGTAAGGATCGAACTTACTAGTCAGGTTGTAATTTATCTAACAGAGACAAGAATGAAGTGGACGTCGTGGCCTTTTAACATGAACAATTTATTGTCAGTACTTTAAGAACAGGCAGACACATAAAAACCTTCTACAAAAAAGAAAGGTCAGAAGCTGTCTTGTTCAGAGATAGGCTGACTTATCATTTGTGATTTCGTCTAACTTTTTTTTTCTTTTTTTTTTTTGCAGAAGAAAAGTTCCGTGAGTCCCGTAAGCACGATTTTGGAAAGACGTCTGCACGTGTTTTTCTTGTCTGTCAATCATAATACTTTTTAGTCTTGTTACCTGTTTGTAAAGATTTATTTTTGTTCCTATCTATCTATCTATCTATCATTATACTCATATTTATCTTAATATGTTCATATCTCTCTATCTAATCATGTTCCTAATTATCTATTCATCTATCTATCTATCTATCTATCTATCTATAATTATGCTCATATTTATCTAAATATGTTTATATCTCTCTATCTAATGATGTTCCTAGTTGTCCCTCTGTCTTTTTATCCATCTATCTATCTATAATTATGCTCATATTTATCTAAATATGTTTATATCTCTATATCTAATGATGCACCTAGTTGTCTCTCTGTCTTTTTATCTATCTATCTATCTATCTATCTATCTATCTATAATTATGCTCATATTTATCTAAATATGTTTAGATCTCTCTATCTAATGATGTTCCTAGTTGTCTGTCTTTTTATCTATCTACCTGTCTATCTATCTATTTATAATTATGCTCATATTTATCTAAATATGTTTAGATCTCTCTAATGATGTTCCTAGTTGTCTATCTATCTATCTATCTATCTATCTATCTATCTATCTATCTATCTATCTATCTATCTATAATTATGCTCATATTTATCTAAATATGTTTATATCTCTCTATCTAATGATGTTCCTAGTTGTCTCTCTGTCTTTTTATCTATCTATCTATCTATCTATCTATCTATCTATCTATCTATCTCTGTCTCTCTATATATGTAGAGAAGAACTTCCTGATGTTTTCTGACAGGAGGAATCGATCCAAACCTGTGGCACGTTGGGAAAGTGCTTGAAACCCATACTCCAAGTGGACCCACGCTTTTTGAGTGAAACTAGGAAGATGAAACCGTAGGGGACGTCGATAGTTGTGCTAGCACGAAGTCACAAATCATCGTGGTCGAGGGCGTGAGCGTGCAGGCCTTGTTCAAATGGTTAATCACGCTAGATAACACGCTCTTTTCCAGAAACTGTTACAACGGTATGCTCAGCATAATTGCAGTATAAACCACAGAGCAGGAGTTTGCAATAGGGATTGGCTACCCGCCCTAATAGATGGGTATTCTCTATCCTCGAATACGAGTGACCAGCTACTTATTTCATATATATATATATATATATATATATATATATATATATATATATATATATATATATATGTGTGTGGGGGGGTGTTCATATCTATCTATCTATCTATCTATCTATCTTTGTTCATAGTTATATATATATGTTCATATCTATCTATCAATCTATCTAATTCTGTTCGTATCTATCTATCTATCTTTCTATTTATGTTCATAGTTATCTATCTATCTATCTATCTATCTATCTATGTTTATATCTATCAATCTAGCTATCTAATTCTGTTCATATCTATTTATCTATCTTATTTTACTCATAATTCTCTATCCTTTTGCTCATGAGTATATCTCTTATTCTTCTAATATCTATCTATCTGATTCTGTTCGTATCTATCTATCTATCTATCTCATTCTGCTCATAATTATCAATCTATGTATCTATAAGATAATTACACACGCAACACACACACACACAAACACACTGAAGACGAAGTTAATATTATACACATTTTAAGAGGACTTCACTCGTAGTGCATCTAATACCGGTTGATTCTTTTTCTATACTGATAACTTGAATTATTTTTTATACAGAGTGCCCCATAATATTTTAGAATTATTTTCTAATATTTCTGGTACGTTAATAGTTCTATAGATTTGTAATGTGGCTTCATATTGAAGATATGAATGCCCATCTGCAAGTACTTAATGTTTCCATAAATTTTTCGATATTCATTTTTTGCAAGATATTGTAAAGAGTTTAATCTGTTAACTGAAATCGTCGATTATTTCTTACGGCACCAGGGGATGTTAAAAGCCTCGTATTTCAAATCCTAATGTTTAATACAACAAGCCGATCCATTTCTTTTGTTAAGTGATTCCCATCCACCAAACAATCATTACATTAGTGGACTTTGTAATCTACGCACACATACACGCAACTCGACAAACATGTACACGTATAAACACACGCGTAACACGTACAGGAGCAACATACGCTACATTTTCGTCTGACGCACGCATGGATATCACCAATATTCATAAAACTTTTACTTCAGCATTGAGGGAGGCAAACATTTGCAGTTGATGTAACTTGGTATTGCGCATTGATTTCAAATATTCGTCATAATTTTTCATCCAATTAAAATAAAATAATATACCCACTTCTACAAAGTTGAAATCGCTGCACACACGTAACACATACTGAAGCAGAAAAGATATATTTTCAATTCTACTCATTGGAAATCGCTAATAATTAAAGAATTAAACAGACTGACAGTAGCTTTGATATAAGTATTTTAGGCCCGCACAATAAAATTGAATATACATATATACATAAGTTCGTATTAACGCCATAAAATTGACACGAAGCCTCTAAACAACCAAAAAGAACAAAATATAATTTTAAAATCGAATTACAATTTCTGATGAAACTAAATAAATTGCAAAACATGTTAAATTTGTAACATGATGAAGGATTACTTGTAAAATAAATTTCACCCTTGAAATTTTAAAAATAATATTTTTGCCTCTTAGGGAACACGCAGCCTGAAATTTCTATGAGATAGATGAAAGACTCAATCTCTCATTCGCCTTCATCTCGGAAGGAGATGAAGAGAGTGAAAGAGTGTCTGCCTAACAAGTACTTAATAGAGTTTCTTCACTGAGAAGTATTTAGTAGAGGTTTTTTCTATTAAGGACAATAGATGTAGACAGTTCAGACTATATGCGTTGTGTTGTTGGACACCAGGAAGCGAAATCATTCTCCTGTTGGAAAGACTAATAATTTGGTTTCCAAAATGTACAGAGAGACCAAATTTGGTATATTGGTCTTTAGAATTCCGCGGAAGCCAACGCAACAATAAATCAGACCCATTTCTCTACTGATTAACGACAGGGAGCTCGAAATAAACCAACCACACAAGATGTGATGATAGTGTAACGTATTTTCTATTTTGTCTTTTGTTTTGACATCTGTTTTCTTCAAGGTTTTTTGTTTCTGAGAATGTTGCTGTTTGTAATTACCCAGCAATTAATAAACAATTGGTAATTCCCGTGAGAAATGAAACTAAATGCGTAAAAAGGCTTAAAATATATTTGAAAATAAAAAAAGGGGAACAAATTGATGTCTATACAGAATTGAATTAATATCTCTGACAGGAATGAAAATGCATATTATTTTTCCGGAAGTTCTTTGTTCTTTACTCTGTATTTATGCTAATATCATAACTGTTTTCGCCTGTCTTAAAAGGAAGTGTGATAGATTTGAAAAACTCAAATTGGCAGCTGATCTAAAAAAAATGCCCTTAATCCTGTTGTTAACTGGGATACGAAATGACGTGTTAATTTTAATGCCTTCACGATGAAACAACTCTTTTTTAATAGTCTTAGAGAATATTTTTCTCATCAGGGATAATGTTTAGCTCCATGAGAGTGCCTCATCGCTATTTTTTATGTCTTCCATTGACATGAAGCGGAAATATTTTATTGAATCAATAGCTTTCTGCAGCTAGTAAATTTGATACACGTTTATAAGTTTGCTCTTCCTTCATACGTTGAATATTGTGGTCATATTTGGTCTGATATTTCTTCTATTTACTTCGAGATTAAGAAGAACCTATATCGCTTCTGACGTAGGATCTCGTCTTCAGTCATTTTCCCACCGATGTAGCTTGTCTTTCATTTGCTTTATCAGGGTAACTCTTCCGAAGAGCTTTGATCTTTGGAACTTCGAATTTAAACGCAAGCGTTGATTAGTATCTAGGTTTTGTTATGTTGCAGTTAAAATTGCTTGATGTAACCGTATGTTCTATACAAACAGTTCCTTCTCTTGTGTTTCCCGGGTGTCGGTCTTTCTTCCGGCTTTGCTAAAATTTAGAGGTAATATCCACCGTCAATTTCTGTGTACTTGAATCCTGTTCCTTTATCGCTTTATATATGGATATATGCACACACACACGCAGAAACACAAACACACACAACTTTAGGCGCGAGTGCGAGCACACATACACACACACACAAAATATCTTTGAGCCACATTTTTAAATAGCTTGCTCTGTGGTGAAATATATTGTGCAATGATAGCCTCCAGTACTTTGCAGTCTGTGTACTATCGTATTGTAATATTACCTATCATATTTTTCAAATGTCATTTATTATGTTTTAACTAATGTAGCCGTGGCGTCAAAATTGACGGCAAGAAGGGATATATATGAACAATATGTATTATATTGTAAGTAATTTTTCATTAATCAAATAAAAATTTTAACCATAATAATTGAACAGTGTACCATTTATAATCAAACGAGGAAAGATATCTCTGTATTGTATGCGTGTGTACGTGTGCGCACGTGTACTCACGTACACAAGTTTTTATACGCGCGCTTTTGTGACACCTTTGGTGTTCTTGAGAGTCAAATTTGCTGAGAAATTAGAACATCATTTATATATATTTATCTCCTCTCTCTATTCCTTTCTATTTTTCCACTTCTCTCTTTCTTTCTTTCTTTCTATCATTCTTACTTTCCATCAATACTTTCGCTTTGATCGTAGTCTACAGAGAGAGAGAGAGAGAGAGAGAGAGGGAGAAAGGGAGAGAGAGAATAATTTGTCGTTTGTAAGCGCTGCAGCTTTTTGCGTGTGGACGTGAATGGGGTCATGACTTCTATGCGTCTCATATCAAAATTTTGAGCTCAGCTCCTCAAATGTTGCACTCAAAATATATATATATATATATATATATATATATATATAAAAGTGAACAAGCAATTGACTCAACGTATTTATTCCATCTCAGGTCAGCAGTCAACGTGAGACCGAGCAGCCGCAGAGAGTTGCTCTCGAGAAGTTGAGCCTCAGACATTCTAATGGAGGACAGGGAAGGATCTCTGTGGTGATTAATAGAGAGCAGTTTTGTCTTCGAAGCATTAAAGTTGACCAGCCAATTCATGCCCCAGTTCACAATCGATTGGAGGTCCTTTTCGAGACGCACGGCAAGGTGAGTTTTGTCAACGAGACTAGATTTGTTTTTGAGGCAGGAATAAATTGTGGTGTCATCCGCGTAGATGCCAACTTGGGAAGCTATGGCGTCAGGAAGGTCATTTATGTAGATAAGGAATAGAGTGGGGCCTAGGATGGAGCCGTGAGGAACACCTGCGTTCGTGGGATAGGAACTGGAGGAGAATCCGTTGAGAACGACCATCAATTCACGGTTTGACAGGAATGATTGTATTAGGTTATATAATCGACCCGTAATTTAATAACCCTGGAGCTTGCGATGAAGGCCAGCATGCCAAACCCTATCAAATGCTTGGAGATATCTAGTGCCACGGCTCGGGCTTCCCCGTTATTTTGAAGAGCTCGGTAGACTGTTTCAGTGATGGCTGTGATCACATCGGCTGTAGATCGGGCAAAGGGGAAACCATATAGCTTGTCTGAGAGCAGATTATGGGATGTGAGGTGGTTAACCACCCCGGTATTGATTAGGGCTTCGAAGACTTTGCCGAAGAGGGGAAGGAGGCTGATAGGACGGCAGTTGGAAGGGTCAGAGGGGTCGCCGGAGTTCTTGAAGACAGGAACGATCGAAGAGGACTTCCAGTAGTCAGGAAAACAAGATTCCTTGAGGCAGTGGTTGTATAGTTTAGAAAGGGCGGGCGCCAGTTCAGGCGCGTGTTTCTTCAAGACAATGGCTGGTATCCCGTCTCCACCACTAGCCTTTTTGGGTTCTAAATTCGAGATAACGGCCAAATCCACTCAATATGGCTTCAGTTCTAAGAGGGAAGTCGGGTATGGGTACATCGGAAGAGTCGAGCGTCAAGTTGAATGAAAATTTCCGAGCAAAGCATTCAGCCTTGTCGGTAGAGGAGGTCAGGACTTCGAACTGGTTGAATAAAGGAGGTATAGAGGGTTTGCAATTGTTCAATACGCTCTTGCAGAGACGCCAATAATCTTTGGAGCCAAATTTGAGAGATGCAATACGTTCCTTCATCCAAGCCGCAAATAGTGACTTAGCATCGTTGCGGACACGCTTACATTCGTTACGGGCGGATGCAAGAGACGTCTATTGCAGTCAGACATGTCGCTACGGAATAGGTGGAAGTAGTGGTTCCTATGGGCGATGGCGGCTGAGCAAGCGGCGGAGAACCAGGGGGAGGAGCGCGACTTGACCCTATATTTCCTTGATGGGATGAAAGCGTCGAATCCAGCTTTAACCCAGGAAGAGACCTCAGAAGCACATTCTTGGACGGGGAGCTTAAAGACTCCATCCCAGGGGACATCGCGGAGGAAATCACGGAACGCGTCCCAGTCGGCTCGTTGATACTAGAACGAAGAATCTAGTGGTAGAAGGTTCTTTATAGGGAGTGGAGTTAAAGGAGATGTTAACCGATACAACTGCATGATCAGAGTTAGCAAGAGGGCAGAGTTG